TTCTAAAAGTAATTAGAGTAAAATAAGGATAGCCCCTTCGTACGAAAGGAGTTGGGTATATTAACCTATGGTTTACCTGTTGTTTATTCACTTTCGACATGTATACACTTAATAATGTATATCAATAAAATAGGCACGGCAGGAAAGCTATGTTAGTTATAAATAAGTGCTGAATGCATATAGGCACGAAGTTTACCTTAAGATACTCTTAAATATACGTAGTATAACACTACGAATTTATTATGTAACATTATAATATGTAATAAATTGTATAGGCTTTGACTTAAATAATTTTAATGTTTTCAGGTACAAAGTACTAATTTTATTAAAAACTAAATAAAACACTTATCACACAAAGGTGTAAACACAAAAACAAAAAAAATGGGCTTACTTGGTAAAGCAGCTCTTTTTCAACAAATATTGTAGGAGGCTAGGTGCTCAACTCACCTATTTCTTATAGACAAATGTAAGTCACTAAAATACATATACTTTATGCTAAATTGAAATAAGATAAAATAACTTTAGTAATTTCGCTGTTAGTACATATGTACAATTAATAATTTATATTGAGTTTGATGATGGCTCTGATTGAACGCTGTCCAAAGGCTTGACACATGCTAATCAAACATTATTTTTGTATACAAAAATAAGGTGGTGTAAAGGTGAGTATAAAATAGCATTAGTACCTTAAAGTAAGGGAGAAAATCCCTTATAGAATGAAATTAATACTAAATACAGTATTTTTTATAAAAGGATAATAATTTATTCGCTTTAAGATGTTTATGTTATAATAAGGTAAGCAGTAGTTAAGGTAATTTCTTAGCTAACTTTAACCTGTAGTCAAGACTGAGAGGTCTATTGACCACATTGGGTCTGAAAAAACCCCAATATGTATAGTACAGCAGTGGGGAATATTGGTCAATGGCCTAACGGCTGAACCAGCTATTTGGTGGAATGTAATCGTTTAACGACGTGCATGTTCACAATTTTGTGATATGTATCAACTCCGTTGAATAAAATTCTGGGTAGATGATTGATGATGACAAATATCTATTCACATATCTTGACCAATGCTTGTGCCAGCAGTCGCGGCAACACAAGTAAGATTAGTGTTATTCATCTTTATTAGGTTTAAAGGGTACCTAGACGGCAAAAGCAACTTCTAAAAAGTATATCTTTGCTAGAGTTTTATGTGAGAGGTAAATATTAGGACTATTGGTGTAGGGATGAAATCCCTTGATACTAATAGAATGTGTAACGGCGAAGACAACCCTCTATGTATAAACTGACGTTGAGGGACGAAGGCTTGGGGAGCAAACAGGATTAGATACCCTAGTAGTCCAGGCAGAAAATCATGAATGTTATAGGTTAGATTATAAATTGGCGTATAAATGAAAGTGTAAGCATTCCACCTCAAGAGTAATGCGGCAACGCAGGAACTGAAATCATTAGACCGTTTCTGAAACCAGTAGTGAAGTATGTTTTTTAATTCGATGACCCTCGAAAAACCTTACCACAATTTGAATGGTATTTAAATAGCTATTACTTTTTATATTAATAGTTACTTGGATATAACAAGCGTTGCACGGCTGTCTAAAGCTAATGTCGTGAGATTTTGGTTAGATCCATTAAATTAGCGTAATCCCTTGCTTTATTTACCAACGATGAGGATAGTGCTTGGTTGCGTCAGCAACTGGGATAATAGGGAAGAAGACAAGTCATCATGGCCTTAATATTGTGGGCTATCGACGTGCTGCATATGCCTTTACAAAGAGAGACAAATATGTGAATATGAGTTAACCTCTAAAATAGGATATAATATGGATTGTAGTCTGAAATTCGACTGCATGAATAAGGAATTACTAGTAATCGTGAATCACCACATCACGGTGGCTCTTATCTCAGTTAGGTACTAACCACTCGTCAGGCGCCGAAAGGAGTATGTGCAATAAGTTTGGTTAATTGATGGCTCTATTTATAAACAATTAGGTTGTTTTTTACCTTAAGTAAGAAACTATGTTTTGTCAATTAATCTTCGTATGTATGACTTTGATTGGTGTTAAGTCGAAATACGGTTCGTGTAGTAGAAATTGCACGGGTTTAATAAATATTAACAACAACCCCCCCCCCCAAAAAAAAAAGATTGCTTATCATGTTTAGAGATAATTTGTTGCATTCATTTGGCTTTACAAAATGTATTGACCAATGATTTTTAGCCTTTATAGCTCAATGGTAGAGCGAGGTACTGTTAATACCTTGATGTATGTTCGATTCATGCTAAGGGCTTCAAGACGTTATAGTTTAATGGTAGAATTATGTGCTACGAACGCAAAGGTATAGGTTCGACCCCTATTGGCGTCTTTTTTCAATAGTTTAAACGTATAAGTAATTACTGTTCTCAAAGGGACAATAGTAAATGGTTTTACCGTTGGACTGCAAATCTAATTGGAAAAGGTTCAATTCCTGCTTGTCCCTAAATAAGAATATAAAAATGTTATACGTAAAGAGAGCTTAACTTAACGGTAAAGTATGTGACTTTTAATCATTGTAATATGAGTTCGAATCTCATAGCTCTTATTAATAAAAAATAATCGCAACATTTAAACCTTTCCCTAATTCTTTAGTATATTTATAGTTTATAACTAAAATCATGAATACATTTTTAAATATAATTAGCCCATTAGACCAATTTGAAATTAGAGATTTAATAAGTTTAAACGCTCCCCTATTAGGAAATATATCTTTATCTTTAACAAACATAGGTTTATATCTAACTTTAGCAGGGTACTTAGTATTTATATTAAGCCTTGTTGGAAATAACAATGAAAAAATTGTTTCCAATTCCTGATCTATATGCCAAGAAACTGCTTATGCCACTGTTCACAGTATAGTTGTTAATCAAATAAATGAAAAAAGAGGACAAATATATTTCCCTTTTATATACGTGTTATTTGTCTTTATATTAATCAATAATTTAATAGGTATGGTGCCTTATAGTTTTGCTTCAACTAGCCACTTTATATTAACTTTCTCATTAAGTTTTACAGTTGTGTTAGGTGCAACTATTCTAGGTTTTAACAAACATGGTTTAGAGTTCTTTTCACTTTTTGTACCTGCTGGTTGTCCACTAGCCCTTTTACCTTTATTAGTGTTAATTGAATTTATCTCATACCTTGCAAGAAATGTATCGTTGGGTTTAAGATTAGCAGCAAATATATTATCAGGTCACATGCTACTTAATATCTTAAGTGGATTTACTTATAATATAATGACTTCAGGAATACTATTCTTTTTCTTAGGTTTATTCCCTCTAGCATTTATAATTGCATTCTCTGGTCTAGAATTAGGAATTGCATTTATTCAAGCTCAAGTGTTTGTTGTATTATCATGTTCTTATATTAAAGATGCATTAGAATTGCATTAATTTTAATATTGTTATTAGTAATTATGTGATATATATTATACTTGCATTATTGCATGTAAAGTCTATGGTTTTTTCAATATAGCCATCAGTATAAAAATTTGAGTCTTTAACAGAAAATTAAGCTATAATTATATAGATGAAATAATAACCTTATATTAAACATTTTTTTAGTATTATGTATAAGAACAAAAATTAGCTTATGTATATCCAAATAATAAAAAAAAAGATAAAAGTATTTGTATGAAGAAAAAAACATCCTTTATGTGAACACCAATAATTAATGATCTCCAATACGCTGAACTAGTGTGTCGCTACATGCATATTACTACTACTTCTGGTTCGGGTACGTCTACTGTGGGATTAGCAACAGATTTATACCCTTACATATCTAATATCAGACGAATGTTACTTAGTATAGGCTATAATGAGAGAGCTAATTTGGTAGGTAATGGGGTTTGATGCCTTAATGTTTTAATACAAGGTGGTCTAGCAAACCCTCCTCTTGTAGCCGATCCTGTATATGTAGGAGTAGTTGATCAACTAAGAGAAATGTGTGGACAATTAAGCACATTTGTAAACCGATATTCTATACCAGACCAAGAGCTTGCTAGAATTATGCGTATTGTTGTTATGACTACCTTATTAGGTGCAGTATCAGCATGTGTTAATCATAATATAGCTCATAATATAATGGAATCTCCCTACATAGATACATTAGTAACAGGGTAAAAAAAACATATATATAAACGGTGTAACTTGTTAATATGTCAAATCTCAACAGAAACCTTTTTCAAGGACATCCTTTTCATTTGGTATCTCCCTCTCCTTGACCTATTTTCACCTGTATTAGTTTATTAAGTTTAACTACATCAGGTATAACTATATCTGTGTGAATTATGTAACTTGTAAACATGTCAAATATCAACAGGAGTGCGTTTCAAGGACATCCTTTTCATTTGGTATCTCCCTCTCCTTGACCTATTTTCACCTGTATTAGTTTGTTAAGTTTAACTACATCAGGTGTTTCAACAATGCATAGCTTCTCATATGCAGGGTATTGATTACCCCTTGCTTTTACTTTAGTAGTATCAAGCATGTTTTTGTGATTCAGAGATGTAATTTCAGAAGGAACATATTTAGGTAATCACACTTTAGCTGTGCAAAGAGGTTTAAATATGGGAGTGGCTCTGTTTATTGTTTCTGAAGTTCTTTTTTTTTTAGCCATATTTTGAGCATACTTCCACAGTGCATTATCACCCACTGTCGAGTTAGGTGCTCAATGACCTCCTATGGGTATAGAAGCGATAAATGCTTTTGAACTACCTTTACTTAATACTGTTATCTTATTAGCATCTGGGGTAACTATCACATACTCTCACCATTCATTGATACAAGGAAATAGAAACGGAGCTCTATATGGAGCAATATTCACTATAGTATTAGCTTTTGTATTCACTGCTTTTCAAGGGGTAGAATACTCAGTTTCCTCATTTACCTTATCAGATGGAGCTTTCGGGTCATGTTTTTACTTTGGGACTGGATTTCATGGGCTACACGTTATAATAGGTACCATCTTTATAGCTGTAGGTTTTTGACGTTTATTAGCATATCACTTAACAGAAAATCACCATTTGGGTTTAGAATCAGGAATACTATACTGACACTTTGTGGACGTAGTATGACTGTTTTTATTCCTATCTGTTTATTATTGAGGGTCGTAATTATTAAAGTAAAGTTAATATGATAGCAGCTTTAACATATATTTCTCCACTAGTAGATATGATACATAGCAATTTGTATCTAATAATTGATAGACTTGATAATCCCACAGGTGATTTAGCGGGAGATCTGGAATTTATGCGGGCTAGATTATCAACTATGAATGGTGCTGCTATGGTAATAATTGAGCGTCTTAACAACACAGGCCAAGCTATGTTACCAGGTGCCTTTACAATTATGGTAGATGGTTTTGATATTTTAGGTAGAGCACTGTATCTTAATGATAGTACTATATTTACTGCAGATTTTATTGAACTAGCTAGTAGATTGCAAGCTTGCGTTGTTAGATTACGAGTAATTATCGACACAGTTTTAAGCTGAAACACTAATAGCGTATTACCTTTTAATGGTTTTCTACCTTATGTACGAGATGCTTTAATTGAAGTATCTAGGTGATGTATATCATATTTGATAATTCGTGGTCTAGGCGGTCCCCCCGGTCCTTGTCGGTAATAGTCTAAGTCTTATGAATCATTAGATCTTGTTTATAACAATGGTACTGTTATAAACAAAAAAAAAAGGATACTTTTTTCCTACAATTACTGTTATGATATGAGTTAAAAGTTTTTTAATACTTATATAATTTAAGAATTTGTATTAGTAATGTATTTGATATAAACGTATTTGATATAAAAATAATGTGGGTTGGCGTAATAGTTAACATAACAGGCTCATGACCTGTAGATAATGGTGCGAATCCGTTGCCCGCACATGTAATAGTATATTTATACAAAAAAAACGGCCATAGGTTAATGGTAGACCGTTCGTCTTCCAAACGATGTGTACCGATTCGAATTCGGTTGGCCGTAAATTTGTTTAAGAGTCATTAATTTGCTTATTTATATATTTACTAATTACAATTAGCCTTGTGCAAAACTTAACTTATGTGATAAAAATTTTAAATAAACCTCATAATTTTTACTAGTAATATGTTAAGTGCTAAAAATAAAATTAAGAATTTATATTAGTAGTGTGTTTGATGAAAAATTAAGATAATACGGCTATAGGTTAATGGTAGACCGTTCGTTTCCTAAACGATGAATACCGATTCGAATTCGGTTGGCTGTATATTAATTTAAACTAAGAGCTATTAACTTAATTGGTAAAGTACTTTCTTGTCGAGAAAGGGGATATCGGATCGTGGCCGATCTAGCTCGTTTTTTGTATAAAATAGAAAGTTAAAGGAAAAGTCGCCATAGGTAAGGCAAGATATTTGCTAAATATTGTGTTTTAACACCTGGATGTTCAAATCATCTCTTTTCCGCACGATGAAAAAGTTATATACTTTTCTTTAAAAGGTTTCTATAAAAAAAGGCCAACTTAGGTTTAATTATAGTTAGCCACAAAAGAGCATAGTTTAACAGGTAAAATAGGAAGCTTCAAACTTCAAATCCTCAGTTCGAATCTGAGTGCTCTTGTTAATTTGGTTCCTTAACTTAATAGGTAAAGTGTACTTTTGATAAGAGTATGTTCGATGTTCAAGTCATCGAGGAATCAGTTTCCTACTAATGTTTAAGTATCAATAGAAAAGGTCCAACTCTAAAGAGAATTGGCTGAGTGGTTTATAGCGATAAGCTTGAAACTTATTTGGTGTAAAACACCACATCCGTTCGAATCGGATATTCTCTGCAAAAATTCTTTAAAGTGGTCTTAATTAGCATGTAACTGGCATAACAGGGTCAGATTACTAGCAGTTAGTATAACTATCTATTTTCAATAAGTACACATATTTCCAACATACCTACTAAGATAGTTTTTTCTTTATTTTTCTAAAAAAAAAAGTAATAATTTTATAAAACATTTACATAGTTTAACCAAAATAAGTAACAAAGTTTCATTATTTTGGTTAACCCTTTTTTTATTTTTTTTTTTTAATGCCTAAATACGAGAATACAAATCAGCCTATCTTACAAGGTGAAACAAAACAAGCAAAAATATCAATGTGGTGAGAGCGTTGATTTTTATCAAGTAACGCTAAAGATATAGGTACCTTATACCTTATATTTGCACTATTCTCAGGGTTACTGGGTACAGCCTTTTCTGTATTAATTAGATTAGAGCTATCAGGACCTGGTGTACAATACATAGCCGACAATCAACTTTATAACAGTATAATTACTGCCCATGCTATAATAATGATATTTTTCATGGTTATGCCTGCCATGATAGGAGGGTTTGGTAATTTCCTACTTCCTTTATTAGTTGGAGGGCCAGATATGGCATTTCCAAGACTTAATAATATAAGTTTCTGATTACTTCCTCCTAGTTTGATACTATTCCTTTTTGCAAGCACAATTGAAAATGGTGCAGGTACAGGATGAACTTTATACCCCCCTCTATCAGGGATACAAAGTCATAGTGGACCCAGCGTAGATTTAGCAATCTTTGCTCTCCATCTTTCAGGTATAAGTAGTTTATTAGGGGCTATGAACTTTATAACTACAATCTTAAATATGAGAAGTCCCGGGATCAGACTACATAAATTAGCCTTATTTGGATGAGCAGTAGTAGTAACAGCAGTTTTACTGCTGTTATCCTTACCCGTACTTGCAGGAGGTATAACAATGGTTCTAACAGACAGAAACTTCAATACATCCTTCTTTGAAGTGGCAGGTGGTGGAGATCCTATTTTATACCAACACCTTTTCTGATTCTTTGGTCATCCTGAAGTTTATATTCTAATAATACCTGGGTTCGGTGTAATAAGTACAACTATTTCAGCCAGTTCTAACAAAAGCGTATTTGGATACTTAGGTATGGTATATGCCATGATGTCTATTGGAGTATTAGGTTTTGTTGTTTGAAGCCATCACATGTATAGTGTAGGACTTGATGTAGACACAAGAGCCTACTTTACAGCTGCAACATTAATAATCGCAGTTCCAACTGGAATAAAAATATTCAGTTGACTAGCTACATGTTATGGAGGATCACTTCATTTAACACCCTCAATGTTATTTGCGCTAGGATTTGTGTTTATGTTTACTATAGGAGGACTAAGTGGAGTTATTTTAGCTAATGCTTCCTTAGATATAGCCTTTCATGACACTTACTACGTTGTTGCGCACTTCCATTATGTTCTAAGTATGGGTGCAGTGTTTGCACTATTTAGTGCATGATACTTCTGAATACCAAAAATATTGGGGTTAGATTATAATGAACTATTAGGTAAAGTTCATTTTTGAATTCTATTTATAGGTGTTAATCTTACTTTCTTCCCTCAACACTTCTTAGGACTTCAAGGTATGCCAAGAAGAATTAGTGATTATCCTGATGCATTTGCAGGTTGAAATCTAATAAGTAGTTACGGATCTATTATATCTGTAGTAGCCACATGATTATTCTTGAAATTATTATATGATCAGTTAGTAGAAGGTAAAAGTATGTTAAGATATCCATGAGCCACTCCTCAGTTCTTTACGGATTTCCTACAACATTATTTAAGTAGAGCCTATACTAGTTTAGAATGAGCGTTAAACAATCCTCCTAAACCTCATGCATTTACTAGTCTACCTCTTCAAAGTAGTGTAAAAAAAATGACATTTTTTAATATTGAGTTTTTGTGTGCTGTTGTTTTAACTTTTATCAGTATGGCAGGTAAAACTATAATAGCTTTAACATTAAAAGATATAACCATTCTTTACTTACTACTTATTTGAAGTTTTGGTGTTCTAATTATATTTACCCTTAAAATTCTTAAAAGTGGTGAATTTCCTACTATTGGTCAAACTACCATGATATTTTTAAGAGTTAGCCTAGTTTCTGGTTTATGTTTTATTATATTTAATTTTGTATCAAATCCATTTATCAATTTATTACCATTATTTTTCTGTTTTGATTTATTTATATTACAAACTGATGTTAATGGTGTAAATGGTATAAAGCTTTCTCCCAATCAATATATCATGGAAGGTAATTCTAGCAGCAAATCTGATAATGGTCCTGGCCCTAGCAGTTCTAGCAAATCTGTTAACCCTGGTGAATCCCTTTCTTCTGAAGAGTTGGATAAAATAAGTACGGATATGCTAAATTCTTTATCATATGCATCTGATATGACAACTCGTATGCGTGAGCTGATCAAATCAGAAAATGTAAGTGTTATCTTAGATAAAGAAGGTAATACTTCATTAGATGTACCCAGTACTATGTCTGAGGAAGAAGGTAATCGTTTGGCAAAAAGGCTAGACATTATGGATAGAGTGTATAATACTGAGATGGACAAATATAAAGATTTAAGCAGCAAAGACCAGAAATTAAACGAAGGTAAAATCTCTGAAGATTATAATGATATGTACGACAATATATCATTTATACATCAACTGAATTTTAAAAAATAGTATTAATACACCAAAACTTCAAAAAAAAAAAGTCCGAGTGCTGGAATTGGTAGACAGGATAAACTTAAGCTTTATTGATAAGATATCGTGAACGTTCAAGTCGTTCCTCGGATATTGCTTTTTTTTAATTACAATCCAAATAATAAAGACCCTATCGACAAGTATGGTTAAGTCATAACACTTTCACTGTTACACCTGGGGTTCAAATCCCCATGGGGTTAGATATATTTCTTTTTATTTAAGATAATTATGCAATTAAAAGATGAGTTATTAAACAATAAAAAAGCAAATAAAAGCATAAAAAAAAGCTCAAGAAGCTCAACCTGGTAGAGCGGAACTCTGAAGATGTTTAGGTTGTAAGTTCAAATCTTATCTTGAGCATTGTTAATACTATCATTAATCTTTTTATTAGTTTCAAATGCTGTTACTGTTGGCAAAGACAAGTCATTTTATATTTGAGGAATATTTGAACATAATCATTTTTATTTATACCAAATTGGTTTAAAAAATATATATGATGATTTAGTTAATAGTTTTTATTATAAAAGTAATGAAAAAACAATGCAAACTTTCCTCTTTCAATTATGGTCAAACTTTTTATTTTTATTCGGAGTTATTAATATATATGCTTTAATACGTATAAGTATATATAATGATACCTCTATTTTTTTGTTATTTATTGCACTTAATACAAGCGGAATTATTCTTTTATATCTGATATTTTTTGACAAGTATTTATGTAAAAACAAATTTTGATACGACTTTATTAATTATTGCGTTAATTGTTTTTATTTCGTCTTTTTCTCTTCTTTCATTTAACCTGATTAAGTCTATTATCGAGATAATGGAGTCTGGTAGCTTCAATAAGGATAATACTAGTAAAGGAACAAGTAACAACAGTAGCTCCAATAATTCAAATAAACCGCCTAAAAAACCTTCATTCACTAAGTGTAATGAAGACTCAAATGAAAGAAGAAAAAAATACCAAAAGGAGTATCAAAAAAAATATAGAGATAATTCTGATTACAAAGAGAAACATA